TACCAATAGAGATTACTGAGGATACATCATGGCTTATTCGTGTAGAAATCTGTGGGACGTTATCTGCTCGCCAGGATTGGGAGGTGCGGCCGTACAACTCTGTGTGCAGCGACCGTGCAAACAGTGACCAATCATTAACCTCTGTTTGTTTAACCTAATCCCCCATCCTGATCATGAGTAGCTCCCTGCGTACACAATTTATCCACAGTTTACGTACTGAATAAACGTGCTCCGTGCTACACGTCTGTTTCCTTTATAGCTGGGCTATAGCTTAGCTGGTTCTGGGAGTTTAGCTAGATGTAGGAGGATCTGCCATAGAGATTTCTGAGTTAGTCAGGCTTTACTAGCGTAGCAGCCCGCTACAAATCCGCTGAAAGCCATACAAGCAGAAAGATTAGTGAATCTTGAGTTAAAATTGGGCCATATTTAATCCCCTTCTGTTATTCATAAACGATTAGGTACATTGTTCTTGAAATTTGAATGCTTGAATAGTTTTTCTTTGACGTGGGCAATAAAAGAATGAAGTGTACACATACCACCAGAGTGTTTAGCAAATATTGACGATTTTGAGGTCATTTGTTCCGGTGGTTCTCCCATGAGGTTGGCGATGCATTGCAGTTGATTTGCTTCATCAGATCCAGGGAAAATAGGGAATCCTGAAGCAGATTAAATACCACAGTAGCAAATGGAACTACTATCTTTTTATGAGAGTAAGCATATTGCGTTATGCTCATAAAATGACAGAAAGTGCTGGGGGCAGGGAGGGGGGTAGGGGAGGTGGGAGAAAGAATAAGGTTGAAGGAGTATGGAGATGTAAAAGAGTAATTGAAGTGCCATAGAATTACCTGTGTACAGCTCTGCTAACACGCAGCCAAGGCTCCACATGTCGATGCTGGCTGTGTACCTCATTCCCATTAGTACCTCCGGTGCTCGGTAATATCGAGATTGGATGTAGTTGTACACTTTAAAAAAAACAGAATAATGAAAAAATCGGCTTTGCCAATTCATTTTTTCTAAATACATGCACATCTTTTATATGAAGTTCTGTTATAATTAGACACGATAAAAAGGTGAGCAATCTAATCACCGTAGCTCTTATTCGATTCCATTGTTAGTTTAACTATCTTTACATGTTATATTATTTAGTTTTTGAATATAGATGTCTCACTTCAATATATAAGCAATCGCACTGCGTTCCGCGCTAATAGCGAAAAATGATAGATATAAAAATTTATTTTTTAAATTTTTTATAGCTAGGTATGTCAACTGAATCCTATTAACGAGCTCGTTAAAATGAATAGATATTTGCAGTTCTATATTAAACATTTAACGCCTGAATAATAATTTTTTTGAAAAAATGACCCCAACCACCTTCACGCGTGTCTGACAGCCGACTGATGCCCCCGACGTGATGAGTTTTGGTGGTGTATCAGGCGAAAGCTATAGACACCTAGTGAACATGCTTCAAACGCCAATGGCACCTTCTATTACGAGTTTAGTACCAATGGAGCTTATTTTGAAAGAGGATCATACAGTAATAAAGACGTTAAAGGAATAATTACAGTTTAACAAAATGACTGCACTTGTTTCCAAACGATAAAGCAAAATTTTCCCTTGGCACTAAAAGCCGTATGGAATATTCATGCGCATTTAAAATCGGTATTTCGCCAAAGAGTAGAATAAAAATGTCAAGTGATTAGAATTTTGTTACACTTCAATAGTCATGAAAAAAACTATACTCAATATTTTAATGTAGCAGTGGTGGGTTCAAATGATATAGTCATTTGAATACATTTTCATGAACTCACGTTGTTCCGACTCACGACAACTTGAGCCGAAATCGATCAGTTTCACATGGGCTTTGTCTCCCGGGACAAGAAGAATATTCTCCTATATAAAAATGGAGCGACATTAAGTTTAATGACTAGGACTTTTACTGAAAAAAGGACATGTTATCTGATATTATTAAATCTGGTTCAATGGGGAGGAATCTATGAGATGATTCAATATTCATTCAGCATGGTAACTAAGTTCCGACCATCGTGAGATCTCGGGTTCAAGTTCTGAAATTTGAATTTTTGACTACGATGTACCGAAGTTGGGTAGAATTTTGTGTTATCTTAATCGTGTCCAAAATTAACTGAGGATTAACTTCGGTCTAACTAACCTTTAGCAATAGGCTTTTCTCAGCATTAAAAACGTACATGAGCAGGATTCAAGTTGTCTCAAGTGCTCAGTGGCCCTTAGACCATCTATATATCCCAGTAAGCCTCTTCTGAAACACTATAGAGTTGACTACTGTCTAATGCGAACAGAAACCTTTTGTGCTGATCACATACCTCATATGTTCCGTACGGTTGCAAATCTATAATTCATACGGATGATACGCAAAGATGCATTTTTTTCGCATATACCTGGATATTATCTAACTATCACATACAAATACTCTGGTTTACAATTACGCCACATTCAAGTGAAGGTAAAAGGACTCACCGGTTTGACATCGCAGTGGATCATCGACTCCTCACTTAGAATAGCCAGACATTTGAGAACACATTTGGCCACACTGCGAATAGTTTTCATAGGTAGGCCTTCAAAATTTCCCCGTCTTAACACCTCATAAAGATTCTCTCTAAAATGGAATAGTAGGGAAAATTTGAGAATTAAATAGAGTCCCAAATTTTTATCACAAATATCAAGGCGAAAATTATTGCAAGCATAATCAAATACTTTTCCTAAAAAATCAATAGTTTGTTCTAATTTCCTTCTTTTTTATTTCAAAGGCTTAACCTTAATAGTATTGATTTAAATCGCCTGCACAATAATATATGTCATAAACATATTTAATTAATAAGCAGTAACACATTTTAATAAAAGAAATGCGAACTTATATTTTGTCCTCTGCTGATTGGTATATCGTTATGGAAGGCCATAAAATCAAATTTATTTATTTATTTATTTGCTTAAAGATTAGGTAGCAGTAATTTAAACTAACCCTATCAATTCGCACACGATGCAAGGATGATTTCTGAAGGTGAAGCTATCGAAAATTCGAAGGGTAAAGTTTTTGCCATGGGGGTCGTGTTTCTCCAGAGCTTTCAGAGCTTTCACTTCTATTCTTGCCTGCTCGTGTAGGCTAAAGGAGGCGCAAAAGTTAAAACTTATATAAACAACAATGCAAAATATATTTCATATAAGTTGGTTAGATTAATCCAATCTCATGGGTTCTTTTGGGTCTCCAGATCGGTATATATATATATATATATATATGCAGTGCATGGCTAATCAACTCAAAAATGCGAAAACTCTAATTCAGAACCAAGACGTAATATAATGTTGTTCTAAATATCAACACTGGCAACTTAAAGAATTCTGCAACCTGGTTTAGTGGAACTGGTTTGGTGTCCTCCATTTCTTCTTCGTCTTTATCAAGCATTCCCGATCTTGCTTTCAACCACCGCTGACCATCGTATTTAAATGATTTTCTTGAAAAATTAAAATCCTTTTTCTTTGCAATTATCTTCGAAGTGCGCTGAACAAGTACACCTGTTTTTTTAGTACTTTGACAATAAGTCATATTTGGAATTGGTTATTCAAAGTCTGATATTAAGATACATCAAGGCAAACCTCGGACATAGAATTGAGGGACAAACAATATTAAAAACAATTATCAAATAATTATCAAAGGTCATACTAGCTTCAAATGGTTATAATCGCGAGAGTAAGCACATTGATAGTTGTGTTAAAAAATGGCGTCCCATTTACTATAATATACTTGAATAACTTGTAAAATTTACGTTATAAGTTTGTTTCAATTTGTAGGGCAATGGATTTGATTAACATTCAAAGCTATTTCTTCAGCTTAAATAATAATCTTAAGTCAAATTTTGAGTGGATTGAAAGCGGTTATTTGACACACTTACTTCGGCCGATTTCGAATGATTTTAAGGGCCACTTTCCGGTGTTTCTTGTGGTCGTAGGCGGTTACAACTTCTCCGAAAGCCCCCTGGCCTATACTTTCGAGGACTTCGTATCGATAGGCAATGTGATCGTGCTCTACGGTCCTGTACTCCCCCTTTCGACTATCATATCCACTATTGTAAGATTCGTTTCTTCCTGTGGATTTCGTTGCACCAAGTCCGAAGTAATAGATTTTCTTATAATCCAAAATTTCAGTCCTCTCATAATCAGTGAGACTTGATCCATAAAGACGAATTGTCTCTGGAATGGGAAAAAGGATAAGAGTAATAAAGGCTACCTTTTCGTGAATAGTTTACCTATTTTAGAAACCTCAGATCTGCATTTCACGCTACTGATCTGGAAGAGAATTTTGAAGCACTTGATTTCTTCAGTTGCTAAGCAACTTGAGCATGCTCTTTAATAAAACAATTTATTTAAACATTTCAAGATTCTTTCATGAAATTCCTCTGCTATAACTACATGTAATGCAGGCTACTACTTCATCGACTGGAACTTCTCAATTTTCCTGAATGTCCGAAGGACAAAGAGCCCTAATTTCAATATCGTTTTCTTCCGTTCATTGCAACTAAAATTTTCTATAAACTATAACCGATTTTAATTAAGCAGATAAGTTATACATATTTAAGAATGTAAAATTGTAAAGTTATTACTTCTCAATTATTCTAAAACCATTTAATTTAAAAGATACACTTTATACTTGGTTTAAAAATTATAAAATATACAAGGAGTCACATTTTGAGAGGGAGGTACATTTTATCTGAAAAGCAGATTTTGAAAGCCTGATCCCAGATGAGATAAATAGATCCAATAGACCCCACAAGAAGCCATTATAAATTGAATGAGCTAATCTCGGATATATTAAATCCTATTCAAATTCAGCGATGATAAAGCCATTTCCATCATGCAGCTAACGTAGTTAGGCGGAGGAAACTTAGAAGGAACGACAATTATAGCTAGAGACTGACCTTCAGGAGTGAGCCAACTTCGAACTTTGCTATGCTGATGCTTCGAGCGATAGTTGCTTGACTTGTGTACAGTGGTAGAATTTGAGGTTATAGTAGTGGTAGTTAATAGTCCTTGATTAACGGGAGCTTTGGTCTCAGTTTTATGATGATGGAACTGGATCTCAATATTTTTCTTGGGGAATTTTCGTCCGAGTTTGGACCTTGGTGATCCTTGGTTGTTGTTTCTGTCGGCTGACTACAAAAGCAACTAATAAATTGACTGGAAAATTCATTGATAAAGCATACTGGCATGACAGTTCATGATATCGATGTTTCGTTAACTTCATAATTCTAACTTTGTCGTAAAATTTTGATCTTTGTTACATCCAAACAAGGTTAACCGACAGTAATTATTTGTCATATATTACATTTATTATATAAATATTCGAGGAATATTTTATTACACTTAAAAGTGATACAGATAATTAGAGAGGGAGTTTTAAGTGAAACTTATTTAGTCAAGAATTTTCATTTATAATTAAATCACTCTAATCGGTTGAATGTTGACATGTTGGTGACAATATTTGGGAAAAGTTCGAAATTCACTCAGTGCATAAGTTTATCCATCAACCCTCAAAAGTAATAGAAATAGATACTTAGGAGTTAATTTTAGCGACTTTAAGATGAGATCACGGAAAGAACAGTGAGGCAAATTTAAGAAATTCTTATTTCCACCTTGTATGATGTTTTCGCTGCATGCGTCAGAGTGGTTTAAATATCAGCGCTGAAAACTACATTCATGAGAATATTCAACTCCCATGGTTGAAGAAAAAACGTAGCCACCCACCAATTCATGTTAATTTCACACAAAATCATGAAAGAGCCGAGTTTTCATGGAATTTCTAACGTGTTTAAATGTGGGAAAGTTCGATACAAGAGTGCATATAGGCATAAGTGAAGCTTGACTCCAAAAAAAGATATTTTAAAAGCCACTGTGTGGTTATTTTTTTCGCGAAATTTAGTGAACTCCACCTTATTGAAATCATGTTAGATCTTACTTCTCTGCCAGAGGTTTGGCTGAAATGAGACGTGTTTTTCTTCAATGTTTTTTAAAAAAATGATCCATATTTCTGGCTGGAGTAATCATTTTCGAACTATGGAAGCATCAATTTACCCAGGAATCGGGATAACATCTCTGAACAAAGAGTACATCAATGAATGTTCTATAGACCTAAATCTAAAGATTGAACTTCAAAAAAAAACAGTCGATGTTTTTTTTCGTTTTGGATATTGAGAAATGGAATAAATCCACATTTTCAACGTTACCTTAAGCTTTATAAGCTTCGACTAAACAGGATCTAAATCCATATAAATCTAATCCATCATTTTGCATTTATAATAAATCGCCTGATAAAGAGTAAAATATAATACAAACAAAGTCAGTTCCTGATATTATAAATAGAATCCGATGTCTCCCAGATTTTGTTATTCCTATTTTATCATCAAAATTTTCCATATTCATAAGGAGAAATCAAATAATTTTTTTGAAAAAATGCATGTTAAATAACTTACCGTAACTAAAACTACTTTCTCATGTTTGCTATGATGATGCCTTTTATGACTTCGATGGGGTTTGCTACTTGAAATTTGATAGAAACCGCTGCTACTGTTTTGGAAACTTCCTTCTGATGATCTGTGGTGGCCTCTGATGATACCAGGATTGTGGCTATGGTTGCGTGAAGAGAGCCCACTTCCGCTTGCAGTGCTATGCGCGTCGCTACCAAGATACAGACCGTGTTTTTGTGAAAATAGCTACAACGGAAACGGGGGAATTAGATTGGCATGCAAATGGAAAACATGGAGGAAAATAGGAAACTGGTAAATACAGGTCTACTATAAAGCACAACAATTGTCATCGAACGTCTTTCCTCGAGAACCGCTCTGTTGTCAACTAACTAAGAGTCGGTGAGATTCACAAAACACCTTGCTCAAATGAATTGTGAATAAACGTGTGAAAGAAGGCCTCAAACTCATGTTTGTAGCCACAACATACCTGTGAATGCTTCGTAACACCTTAATTGTCTTAATTGGTAATCTCGATTCACCTTTGCAAATCCTACTTGCTAAATTAAAGCTCATCTTACTTAAAGCGTACAGTTTAATGCAAGAAATTCAAACTCAGTCACTTAATGATTTAGGTATAATATCAATTTAAAAAGCATTAATTATAATGCAGAATCTTTGATCTCATACGCTTTACTCATAATAAAAGTATATGGCTGGCGCAACATTACTCAAACTTTATAGTCCTTTAAACTTTTTTAAATGAATTAGATTACCCACTTTTATGAAATTAGTCAAATTTTATTTTTATTTATTTTCAGTCTTTTGAAGAATTTGCCCATATAATGGAGTGGGATTTAGTAAAGTGGTCATGTTAAAGTGATCTTTTCATTCCAAAATCGCTATTTCACACACTTAACAGAGATCACAACTGGATCGTTTTTTGAACAGGGTAAAATGGATGATGTAAATTTTTCTACCATCAACAAAAGTGAAAGTAGATTATAAAAGCGGGATAGCGAGACACATACGTTGGAAATGAGCTTCATTTTAACAACATAAACTATGCCCACTAACCGTACAAATTATCATTACAAACACACTTAACCAGAGAAGGAATTTATTGTACAATAGTAAAGGCACATTATTAAATTTCATACAAGGGGTGTGTGATAGACTTACCTCCACGTGGTGCACCCTGCGCAACGTATACTCATACGGCAAAAAAGTCTATTACCTGGCAGTTGACTTCAAACTACCATGACCCCACTGTATGTCATATTCGACTACTTTCACAGTACTCATCCCATCTTTTTTTGATACACTCTTCTGTTCC